AAAATGGGGGCAGTTCTGCTCCTGCCTTGACCTGGAACAGCAGCCCCAATCCAGGAAAGACCTCATCTTCCTCAGTTCCCCATAGCCCTTGGCTCCCATTGTGCACCCCAGCCAGAAGGAAACTTCTGGACCCCCCTGGACCTCCCCCTCCTCAGTCCCCAGCTGAATACACCTCCCTCAGACACACACACACCCTCAGACCCCAGCTAGGAGACGCCTCCCCCGTACCCCCTTCCACAGCCCCCAGCTGGGAGACACCTCTCCCGGACCCCTCTCCTCAGCCCCCGAGCCGGGAGACACCTCCCCCCCCCAGCCCCCAGCCGAGAGACACCTCCCCCCCCCAGCCCCCGAGCCGGGAGACACCTCCCCATCTCTGCATCTTCCTCCCCTCCCTCCTCTCACCTATAAGCCCCGCCCCCTCAGTCACCTCCCCCAGCCTGCGGGTTACTATAGCAACGGGACGCTCAGCCGCTGCCAGCCTAACCGACGTCGCACTGCAGTGGCCGGTACCCGGTAGGGTGGGGGGAGGGTGGGCGCGCAGGGCTCCCCTCCCCGCCCCCCCGCCTGTCGCGAGCAGCTCACCCAGGAGGGGAGGGGGGGGAAATCACCTCCTGGCCCCGACCCCACCCGCTCCGGGGCCTCTCCCCCAATTCCTGGTCCCAGGGTTTCCCTGTTTCCTCCCAGCGCTGGTAGCTATTCCCCTCGTGGAGGTGGGGTTTTTTATAGAGCTGGGAGAGCTCTCCCACCACTGGTGCCGTGACTACACAGCCAGGTTGCTAGTGAAGACATGCTCTAAGTTCTCCAAAGTACTACCCTAGGTAGTAGACAATGGAAGATGAAGTAGATATTATTCATTAAGATTTCCAATACATTTCAAACATATGGATATAGGCTAATAAAATAAAAACCCATTTCTACCCTACAGGTAATTATGGGATAGAATGAGTGGTGGGAGTGGGCGTGGAAATCAAAAACAATCAGTGTGTTGACCCCATCCTCTAAGACTTTCTGCAGTGGTTTTTTAAATCTTATTTTATTTTGTTTTATAGACATTAATTAAGATTTTCTCCGCTTCTGGATTTCCTAGCGAAACCTGTCTTTTTTAGAATATAAACTGTTTGCTGGAAGAACTCTCTTTATTTTTGTGTACTGCACAGCACTAAGCACATTTTGGCACTAAAGAAATAATAATTAATCATAGTATGGGGTAAAATAAGTTTGTTAGAGAATATGTGAAAAGCAGGAAACACTGACTGGTGGGTAAATGGTAACTTCTTTAGCCAGGAGAGCTTATTCATAGTTAGAGACTGGAATGACCTGTTAGGTCATGTGGACCATCTCCCTACATTTCAGAATAATTCTCTACTTTTCATTGTCTAGTGCTTTGTTATGGGGATGTTCACCTATAGGGTAGGAACTTTTATCTTTCCCTTTCATTTTATTTAATGAGGTTTATATAAGTATCATCACTTAGGAGTCTATTCTCTATTCATTGTATGTGTGCAAATCTCATTAACGTTAATGGAAGTTGTCCACATACATCAAGAAGAGAAAAGAACCATTAGTAATTTAATTGCTATTTGTGATTGATCCTGTTAAAGCAGAAAACCTGTTTTGGTGTGTGTGTGTGTGTGTGTGGGTGGGGGGGTACGGGGGGGGTAACGA